TCTTTTGAAACTGGAACAGGCCCATTCCTCTGGAAATGAAAGAGGCTGATTCCAGAACACCGCCTTGCCCCCTCCGCCAAGATGGGCTGCCATGCTGTGGACTTGTGGGCAGTAGAAGCAGAACTTAGACCCCGGCGGATATTTAGAAATACGGAGGAGGCCGAAACCGCCGGGCCCAAGCCGCGTTTCAAAGAGCCACAGGCCCTGCTGCCATTCCAGGGTGGTGGTCCGTGGGCCGTGGCTACCGCGTGTGGCCTCAACCCAGCGCTCAGATGGCGCTGCTTCATTGCACTCTGTCCGGCTGTGCACTGGAACAGATTTCTTTTCCGTTCCCCTTTAGAAAATGGCAGCCGGCCCGTCTGCCGTGAGTTGTCGGGCCACGTGTCAAAAGCCAAATGTGCTGGGCCATGTGTCAAGTGCCAAAAGTGCCGGGAACCTCGAGCCAATCCCCGGCTCATTGTCCCGGCTTATTGTCCCGGCTTATTGTCCTGGCACCGGGCTTTCAGAATATAGCCCATTCGCTCCACCACATCCAGCCCGGAAGCGGCCACAAAAAATTGGAACCCCGGAAACCAGACACGCGCCGGAACGCCCGCCTGACGATTTTCCATGGCGTGCCTCGCTGGACCCAGCTCAGGGCCGCTGTTTCAATTGTCCCAATGGTCCACTGTCAGTTGCAAAATGTCCCGTCAGCCTGGCCCAAACAGGCGCGCCCGACTGCAAAATCTACAGGCGGACTCTACTGCAGGGCCAAACCCCAGTGCCAGCCGGCCAAACCTCGCCCAGGCGTGCCCAGTCCAGACATGCCAAATGCATGTCTACGGGTGCCCAGCATATCTGCCGGCGCCTCCTGCGATCTACGGATTCTGCCGGCGCCTCCTGCTATCTACGAATTCTGCCGAATTCACCCAATTTGCCGAATCTGCCGAATCTACCAAATGCTGCTGGAATCCGCCGATCCGGCCGATCCTGCCAATCGCTCACGTGCGTTCTAGCTGCCGATCGCCCAGTGCGAACTGGCCGCCGCGCTTATGGCCTGACCTGCACACAGCGCGCCAGCCGGCCTCACCATTCCATCCATGGCCCAAGCTCACCTTTGTTCCTTCAAAAAGAACGCATCCCCACAATTCTCTGCCCTTTGAGCGAGACCAGCGATATATCTAGACACGCACACCACCCGCTGCTGTGCCGCCTCCTGCTGAATCTCGGTCCCCCACCGAAAACCCGGCTCTTCAAACCCACTAGAAACACGCTCCAGGAAACCACGAAAAACACCCGACAATGTACGTGCAGTTGCCCTTTGACGAGTTCAAGGTGGACCCCAACAAGAAAAAGCGCGTGGCGTACTTTTACGACGCGGACGTCGGCAACTACGCGTACGGCGCTGGCCATCCCATGAAGCCCCACCGGATAAGAATGGCCCACTCGCTCATCATGAACTACGGGCTCTACAAAAAAATGGAGATCTACCGCGCCAAGCCGGCCACCAAGCAGGAGATGTGCCAGTTCCACACGGACGAGTACATCGACTTCTTGAGCCGGGTGCTGCCGGACAACCTCGACTTGTTTGCCAAGGAGCAGGTCAAATTCAACGTCGGCGACGACTGCCCTGTTTTCGACGGGCTCTTCGAGTACTGCGGCATTTCGGGCGGCGGGTCAATGGAGGGCGCCGCGCGCCTCAACAGGGGCAAATGCGACGTGGCAATCAACTACGCGGGCGGCTTGCATCACGCCAAGAAATCAGAGGCCTCCGGCTTCTGCTACTTGAACGACATAGTGTTGGGCATCATCGAGTTGTTGCGCTACCATCCGCGCGTCTTGTACATAGACATCGACGTGCACCACGGCGACGGGGTGGAGGAGGCGTTCTACTCGACGGACCGCGTGATGACCGCGTCGTTCCACAAGTACGGCGAGTTTATCCCGGGCACAGGCGAGTTGCGCGACATTGGCGTGGGAAAGGGCAAGCACTACGCGGTAAACGTGCCGTTGCGTGACGGCATCGACGACGTGACCTACAAGTCCATTTTCGAGCCGGTGATCCTGAAGATCATGGAGTGGTACCAGCCCTCGGCAATCGTGCTCCAGACAGGCGGCGACTCGTTGAGTGGCGACCGCTTGGGCTGCTTCAACCTCAGCATGCGCGGGCACGCCAACTGCGTGAATTTCGTGCGGCTGTTTGGCGTGCCGCTCATGGTCGTTGGGGGCGGAGGCTACACCATGAGAAACGTGTCGCGCACATGGGCCTTCGAGTCCGGGTTGCTCAACAACGTGATCTTGCCTCTGGAGTTGCCCTACAACGAGTACTACGAGTACTACGGCCCCGACTACAAGTTGGACGTGCGCCCGCTGAACATGTACAACGCCAACGGGCCAGAGTTCTTGAACAAGATCTTGACCAGCATCATCCACAACTTGGAAAACACCAAGTTCGCGCCTTCTGTGCAGATGAACGAGGTGCCGCGCGACGCCGAGGACTTGGGCGACGAGGACGAGGACACGCCCATGGCCATCGACACCAAGGGCGGCTCTCAGTTTGCGCGCGACGAGCACGTCGAGCCGGAAAACGAGTTCTACGAGGAGGAGGATACCAATCCGGGCGACCGGCACATCGGGCCCTCGGAATCGCCCGAGAAGCGGGGGGCCGAGCCCGCTGTTGCGCCGGAAACAGAGCCTGTGAAGACAGCCGTCTCGCCCGGCTCTCCAGAGAAGCCTGTGGTCGAGAAGCCCGCGCTGCCGGCGGCTCCTTCCGTGGCAACTGCGGAGACGGAGACGGCCCCGAAGCCGGAGTTGACGGACGAGGAGATGCAGGAGATCGATGAGTTGAACAAAGAGACACAGCTGTGAGCGTGGGTCGGACCGTGCACGTAATTACAAGTTAAATGAAACGAGTTTTTGAGAGCCTGGGGCGCAATACATGCCACCTGCGACTGTAGACGTGGTGAGCTGTGGATCTGGAGAGCCATGCGACTCTGTGGGCCATGAGCTGGCACGGTTTTCATATGCTAAATTTCGATAACACACAAAGGTGTTGTGCTTTTAAAGCACCGCTTGGTTGGTCGATCTGCATTGGGGAACAGGCGCTGAAACAGCCCATTGCTCCGTTCCTTAAACCGCTTGTCATGTCCTGAAAGAATAACAGGCTACTTGGAAGAAATCCAGCTAATTCTCCACATGTGGGAGGAGTGACTTTTTTTACAGGCTATATACGTTTTTCCCGCAGAATTCCGGCGGAACAGATGAAGCCAGATGGAAATCGCCAAGAGTTCTGATATCTCATTCCATACTGATTTAATGCGACATATAGACCTCACAAATACCGATGATAAAACATTGTATTGCACTCTTTATGTACTTTAATGGAAAAAAGAGTGCAGTTGGGCGGGGAGGTTTGCAAAAGTGGTGCATTCTGCATCCCAATCCACTTTTCTCTATGGAACTCGTTCTGAATGCGATGATCCAGCAGAATCAATATTGCCGAAGTCTTTTCCGTCTCAGCCTTGCGTGGGACCCTAGGGCCTACAACTTTCTGTCTATGAATTTGCTGGCCTGTACTTCTGCAAGCTACGGAAAAAAATACATGGCGTTTCCGGCGGTCTGCCCGAGGAGAAAATAAGCGTAGCATCGTAAAACTGTCGGTTTTCATGTATGGCAGGATCTGTGATTAGATAGCAGCATAGCTATGTTTTGGCAATATCCAAGGCTTTGGGAAATTCCACGAGGCATGGTTGAAAAGGATGGATCAGATTTGACCAAGAATCAAACGTGTCTTTTTCTGGAAGTCGCTTCCCGAGAAATGCCAATATTCATACTGGCACAATGACTGCGTCCTTAAGATAAACCAGTATGGCCGAGACAAAAAACACAATTTTCTTTGACTCCATGCTTTTTCTGGTAGGCCACGCAAAAGATCCGGTTCCCCGCTGGTTTGGTTCTGCGGATGCCATACCTCAATTCCACCACCATGCAATTTGCGTGCGCTACATTTATGGTACGCCAGGCAAATGAGGAATATAAATCCGCCCGATCTCGGGCGTTTTCTGGATTTTTTGCAATTCCATTTTTTCCAAGAAACCCAACACTTTTGTGTCCTGAAGAAAGAATCGCCCATCCATCCAATTGACCATAGTCTTAATTCTCACCCACCTACTACCATGTCTGTCGTTTCCAGATTATTACCCGGAAACAAAAACAGGGCTGATTCCCAGAAACTTGTGCCTGCTGAGGGCACCACCAAATCCTCTCCCTCCAACACCGACAAGAAAAAACGCAAGCGCCGGGCCAGAAAATCAAGGGCAGCCAGGAAAAACAGGCCTGTTGTTGCGGGTCCTGGCCCGTCTGCGATTAGGCCCAGTAAGCCTGAGACGCCTGGCCGCTTGCGCAAGTTGTGTGGGCAAGTCAGAGGACTCGTTCCCTCCTGGGCCAGTTTCCGGAAAACCACCCACAACAACACCCACAAAAACACCCACAACAACACCCAAGAAAAAAAGACCCCCGGCAAGGACCCGGCAAATGGCGCCCCCGCCATATACCCAGTGCTCGCCAAATTGCACCTGGTGGTTCTGCAGATAGTGGACTTGTATGCTGGGGCCCCTTTGACAGAGCCAGAAAAGCATGTTTTGGAGGGCTTGAAGTCCCACCCGGGCCACAATGACAGCCACCACGCCGCCAGGATGGCCGAGGTCAAAAAAGCCATCGAAACGTGGCATTTCCGCAGACAGCTGGCGCAAGTTGAAGGCGCGCTGCCGGCTGCGAAAAGTGCTCCGTTGGCGTCGCTCATAAATAAGCTCGGGGACTTTGAAAGAAAACACGCCGCCACACTCGAGAGGAAATGCCGGGGCTTGTTTCCCGGCTCACCGGAGATCGAGCGGCCGAAACACCGCCGTTTTTTTTTCTCGGCGTTTCGCTCCCGCCGTTCGCCCGCCTCTCCGGCAGACGAAGCGTTCTACTCTGCCAGAATGTATCCCGCCTCTGGCGACATATCGGGAAAAGATGCGGGATATGCTCTGGGGACTGGTCTGGGTCACGTGGACGGCCGTGACGAGTGGTCGCTCGAAAGCACCGAGGCAGCCAGCGACACAGCTTCTGAGTATACTCCCGTGGACAGTGCGTGGTTTTCCGTGAAATTAGAAGAGGAAACCTGGCACGTGGCCCGGCCCAGCGCTGCCACAAAACCAGCACTGGGGGAGCCCAAAGCTGGATCTGTCCATGCAACGAATACCAGATAGGCCACCCAGAAAGCCCGGATCCAGAAGCAAAAGAAGTCGAGCTGGAACATTCCAATCAACGGGCCACTCAACTGGCCAGCCACCAGGAAACCGCGTCCAGGTCTCGAAAGAGTGGAGTTTGATCTGCCTGTATCAAAGCGCAGGTGGGAGCAGATCTACACAATTGCAAATCCTGACAGGCCAAGGCCGGGGCCCCGGCGTGCAGCGTCCTCGTTCGAGAAGTGGCTGGACTGTTGCTGGGAGCTCCAGCCCATTTTCAGAAACTAGTACTACTTTGGCTTTGAGAGCAGAAACGATTCAAGCCCACGAGCGAGCGTCTGCTCGCGGGAGCTTCAAAAATACCAGAGGGGGCTGCGGGGTGTGTTCTGAGAAGAAGCTGGATATGGCCCCGTGATCGGAAGCCGGCCACATTCGCTGGCTATGGGAATGAGCACCGATCTTGGGCGACGTCTTTTTATATGAATGTAGAAGAAAACAAGAAAATAGAAAAAAATACACGCACTTTCTCTAGATATCGTGGCTGAGATTGATGTAGATGGTTTGGCCCTTGACATAGAGGGAAAAGGCTCGACGTTCGGACACATCAGGCACGTGTTTCTAGCTGGCGAGCAGAAGTCTATTGCTAAAGATAAAACTTTTGTTGAACGCTTTTATCAGATGGCTCCACGTTTTTGGGAACAAAGAATTATGCATTTCCTGGATACGAAGGTGAGAGAAGTACGGCTGCATTGCTGGTCGAGGGTTACAAAGGCGCTGAGAGGTGAAACGGATTGTGAAACATGCCTCAAATTATTTGGCCTGGTCCTATCATTGGCATTTGCGCAGGGACAGACTATATCAGATTAGTACACCTGACAAGCTTGGCGCGTTGTGGCACTCATATCACACTGAGAGTCAAAAAGCGTGTTCCCGGAGATTCAGCGACATGAGGCGACGGGCTGCTTTCAAAAGCAGAAATCATGAAGCCTGGTTGTCTCGCACATAGAGGCACATTCCCATTCCAAATTTTTCTACTTTCGACGAGTGCCTGTATTGTGTTGCGTCGTGCAGTGCTGAGTGCTAATAGCGAGCGGAAGCAGCAGATTAATCCTTTGCCTTTTGTGACTTAGACGTTCTGGGGCTGGGGGATACCCAGTTTGCAGTGAGCCATGCTTCTTTTCTGGCCCGCCTGGTACTCTTCGTTTCGATGGCGAAGGTCACAGAGTATAGAGTACCTTGCAGTCCTTTTTGTTGTGGAAAAGTTATGCATGAGATTTCATATTCTTTACTGTTCTGTTCAGAGTCTGTGGGTCAAATGACGGTGTTTATTTCCTCCTTATAAGGTATGCTTGAGCAAGCATTGCACCGTTCAAGGTGAGTCCTGCGTTGGCAGTGTGCTGTTGGAAATTTGTATGGAGCTATATCTACTTTAAAAAAATGATACGAGGATATCTGTTTTTGAATGCGCTTTGTTTGTCAAGGAAACCCGATCGTAGAAGAAGGCCTTTGGCCTGAACGTACCGGTTCCCCCATGAGCTGAAGACTGGAGGCAAAAACGCCAGAATTTTAGGGTTTCCATTTGTGACCTTTTTTTTCGCCGGCGTAGATACCCTATCTTTGCCACCGCAGTATTATTGAAAACACTTCTTCTTTCTGCTCGGCCATGCTGTGACCCATATCAATACTCCTATTATTAGGCCACTGCCAATAGAAGCCGCACCGCCGCACAACAAATCCGCAGGGCCACGAAACTGCCTACAATATGAACTTTTTTGCCAGAGCCAGCCAGAGATCTCCCGATCATACAATCAACATGCGACATTCAGACTATACGAAATGAATTTCCGTAATTCTGGAGGGCCCATGCAGCACCAGACCCGGGTCCATGCAGCATCGAGCAGCGTCCCCGCGTCACGTGACCTCGACATGGCCGGGCGTGTCGTCATGACTCAGCAAACCATCTTTTGCAACCACAAGGAACCACACCCCACTTTTTAAAGAATGCTTCATTTTTGCGCCGTGTCAATGCGCCCGGCTTCTAAAAACGTTATTGGGTCTAATATAACGCGCTTGAGCGCTGTCTTTCGGCCGTGCCGCCTACCGTCTTTGCGGCGCCAGGCCTGGCTCTTTGGACCTTGCTTTAACCGCCAGATGTCCACACAAAAAGCCCTGAAAGTGCCCGCACACACCCCGGAAAACGCTGGGTCTTGCGGCGCCACGAATCTGGTATCTGTGAGTCCCTGCTCGCAGCTCAGCGCCCGGACCATTCCGAAATATGCCGGGTCGGCGCACTCGAAACTACACAATGTTGTTTGGCGCAGCCCCTTGCAAAATATCTACGTGGTCAAGAAGCCGTGGAACGAAACCACGACTCGCGCCATGCGGGAGTTTATTGCTTTTATCCATGCCGAGTACCCGTCACTCAATGTGATTGTGTCGGAGGACGTAGTGGAGGAACTAGCGACGGCAAACATCGGCAGAACTGACGAAGCAGAATCACTTGCCGACAACAACACATATGAGGACACAAACACAAACACAAACACAAACACAAACACAAACACAAACACAAACACAAACACAAACACAAAACACAAAACACAAACACAACACAACACAACACAA